ACGATGTGAAAATAAATGACAAAACGAATATTGTGTATATCTGTTTACATATGTATAAGATTGAGTTATTAATAGTTGAAATTAGGTGTTATTATGTTTTGATATAAAAAAAATAAAGTGCAAGTTGAAGGTTGGAAAAATTGTTTCTGATACATTGAGTGAGTATCATCAAATGCATAATTGTATTGCTACAAATAACTCATTTTAATTTCCCTCAATATAATGATACATGTGAAATAAACAGGTTGAATAAGGGGCCCAAGTATTTGTTAACGAATAATTGCCAAGTAGATGCTGATTGAATACCGTTCTTTCAGTTCAGGCTGTTCTTGTTCGCCCATATATACAGCTCTTCTGCTGTCAATCTTTCTTTATGAGTGTTAAAACCATTTTAAGGCAGTTTGGTCCCTTCAAAATTAATCATGTGTCCTGTTTCCAACGCAGAATTAACCTCAAGTTTCTTTAGGTCAACTGAGGATTTGGGAACACTTTTCAAACACTGTTTGTGTTCCTTCAACCTTCCATTCAATTGTCTGGATGTTTCTCCCACATAAGTTACATTACAGTCATGCTAGTTTATCTTATAGACAATATATTGTTGTTCTTCCTTTGAGAACCTATCCTTAACTCCCACTAATGCCGGTCTTATGGTGTCACACGCCTGAGAATACACCCTTGTATCATGCTTGTTTTGAATCCACTTGGTTTCTTCTGATGTTTCACTACGGTATGGGGTGATCACGGTGGACTTCCAGTCCTTCGGTATATATCCAGGTTACACATAAATATGACTTGAGTTTTATCATTAACATTTTGTTTTTCCAGATGTTAAAAAAAATTTGTGTAAAGAGAAAATTTAATTTTAAAGTAAAGCTAAGTAGTTTCTATAAATGGTATCCAAGACGCGTGTCTCATGCTGATCACAACTCATCAAGTAGATATTTAGTTGATTCTTTAGTGTAACTGATGCGATTAGATATGTTCATATGCATGTAAAATTATATCATGAAAGTCAATGCTAATCTAAAAAAATTCTCAACGCAATTACAGACGAGCGACTAGATTACTTAGTTTTAGATTTATATGATCATGATTATACGATATAGAATTAGACTTTTCATACCCAACCTTTTGTCTTCAGTAATCTTGTTGTGTTGTACAGTTAATTTTTCAAAGATGATGATGAAAATGTTTAATTAATGAAAGATAAACAAGTGAATATTGTTTCCTGTCAAAGTAATGGAATATACTGTAGCGAACAAGAACATGAGTGGGGACAATCGAATGTATTTGAGCATAAAATTACAGAACATATCACTAAAATCTGAGAACCATACAGTAGATAGTTTATTTGCAAAATATCAATCAATTGTCTAAAACTTGACTATTTCTTTCTCATATATCAGTCGATCTTCTTACATTTTATTGTTCATACATTTCCGTAGCAATTGCTTTCCGTCCCCATTGTTTCCTTCTCGATCTTCTACTGTAATCCATTCTATACCTGACTATCGTCATATACTACTTATGTGGATATAAGTAGCTCACACCACATACTAGTTTCAGTGATATTTTAAATAATGAATGCAAACTTGACTTAAAGTTAAATTATAACCATAATATACTGATATAATCAACAAGATAGAAATTTCACAGGCAATTTAATTCATATTCTAGAAAAACAAAATAAAACTAAACTATCCTTTATTTTTTCATTCATTAATGTTTGAAGGAAGTCATAATAATTTATTGGAACAAGACAAGGTTTTTTTTAATGTCTATCACTACAGGCATATTATTTTATGGAATTTTCCTTCATTGTACAAGAGATATTCATGAGAGATGTTCAGCTGCATTTCTGCTTGGTACAGTTGTAATTCTGATTTATAGTTGTGTTCATTTTTTTGTTTCTTTTACATGTGAGCATATTAATTACAGCCTAAGGGTTACTAACTGTAATTATTAAGAAAAGTTGACAAGAAAAAACAATATAGGAAAGTAATATAAAGTAATTATTTATATCATCATTGTATTGGAAAACAGGGAACATTGTTTTAATTGATAATAACGCTCATTTTTATTCATGCATATGAAGTATTTTTTCCATTGTGATATATAAATATAACAAATTTCAGATTATGTTGTTGACAGAGGGGATTTGAACACAGGACGTTCGTTCTCGTGTACGAATACCTAACCTGTAGACCACTAAGCCTAATTTAAACATTAAATAACTTGTGAACATATTGTTTTGATTAGAATTTCAAATTATTGTATAATATTATTGTGGATTTTCTTTGTTTGAATCATGAGGTTGTTTTTAATTTTCTTCGTCGATTTTGAAATGGACTCTACTGATATTTTGAGGATGATTTATAAAAAAAACATTTTGTCTAACCTTTCGTTCATGTGAGTGATTTTAAATTCTAGTGAAAACGTATGATCCAGGAAGGAAATGTGGTATTAAACGAAGGGAACGTACTGTACAGCATAATCTTGTAATTGGAATGAAAAAATTCCTAATATCAGATAATACAGAGCGACAGATTTCCACTCATCTATTTCTAGGCATAGCACACATCACACTCTACCTCTGAAAGCTTTTTATATTCAGTTCTCTATATGATCGATTTTTATTTCAGTAGTGTGTGAAATACTTTTAAATATTACTACCAATTAGACTTTCAATATGAAACAACAACAAAGAAAGTGATGTAACCTTCAATCGAATAGGCGGATTGATGACATGTTGGAATTGGCCATACGTATTTGAGTTATTTATCAATAAAATATGTTTGAAATAACAAAAGAAACCAATTACATCATTAAAGAGCAAGTAAGGACGTTGAATACAACTCAATTACAAATCTAATACCATTTTTGAATAGAATATAAACTTAATTCATTTGTCTATGAGAAAAAAAAACAACACAGAAACTATGAACATTAGCAGATTCGGTGAATATTTATCAAAGTGAAAATATATTTTTTTCATTTTCTATTACGCTTTCTTTTGTTTCTTAAATATTATTTTGCATTTTATTCCAGGTTATCGGCCTGCTTGAATATCTGGACTACCTGTTTCTGACATCTAGATATTTCAACAAGTTATCTGGTTTTTTGTTTGTTTTAACACATCATTATGTTTATGAGTTGCATAATCTATTCAGATGCGTTTACGAAGTGTTTACAACCCTTCACTGCACAAGTTACAAAAAGAACAATCGGCAACATTGTAGTGGCTGACAATATGCCTTAAAAAGAGTGAACATTATTTAGATATCGATCCTCAAAACTGCTTACATCTAACTAGAGATCACTCAATATTTATTATCAAGATTGATCAAGAGATAAGAAACGGAAACTTATTGAAATACTTTGTACAATATTGAATAAAGTCAATAATAATAATTTAGTACAAGTATCATCAGTATAACTAAAATATTGTTTATATGAATAGCAACTAGCAATATCCCCTATAATCAAAGATGGATAGTGGCTAGCAATGGAATCCAGAACGCACGTTTTATCCTATTTGACATTTGAAGCTAAAGATACTGAGTTCGAGTCCCAGAGTGAACATCAACACTGAGATACAGGTACACTCACATGACGAGCCCCAAATAGGATGAAAAGCGCGTCATAGATTCCGTTGCTAGTCGCTAACCATCTTTGCTTATAAAGCTTGTGACTTCAGGCAATATCAAGGTAGTCCGCATAAAATGCACATATGCCAACAAGAGATTGATCAATTGCAGTGTTAAATAACAATGTGAAGATACAAGTAAATCAACACCAAGTGAATATAGCAATATTCTAGTTTTATACAGTTTTCTAATTAGGTATTATTATTATTATTTCTACGTAAACTTTAGTAAAATTCTTTTATCATTAAATTTCTCACATTAAACTTTTACAAATATTTTTATATAATTTGAAATTTAGTTGGAAAAAACAAAAGAAAAGTAAAAAGAAGAAAAAAGAGAAAAAGGGAAAAAATGTCTAAAGATATGCTTTGACATGGTTATGAATTTTTAATCTTCCTGTTTCCCCTTCTTTTAGTTTCCTTTTTTTATTATGAAAAAATATTCTATACATCTCAAATAAATTGTATGTTAACCTTTTTGTATTTTAAATAGATTCTAATTGTCTTCGCTTATCTTCTATTGACATTCACCTTTTTCTGTTTTTCTTTTTACGTCAAAGTTATCTGTTAAAAATAAATTAGTTTAGTAAAGTAATGTATATCTTGTGTCCAAGGTGTGAAAGCAGGGAGCAGTATATATATATATATATATATATATATATATATAGATGTATATATATATATATATATATTCAGTATATAATATAAATAGGTGTACATAATTGTACAATATATTGTCAAATATCTAACATGACAGTTATAATCTGTTTTATGATATTCATAACTAGAAAAAAAGATAGTCTAATGTGTAAACTTATAGAAAAAGATGAAAAGTGAAGAGAAAGTCAAATGAGCTCTATAGGTAGTTTATTCTTTGTGATTGTTTGTATGTGTACGCTTGAATTCATGATAACTAACAAGTTATGCTATAAAACTTAGTATTTGTAGTCAGATTTTTTTTTTGGGATGTTTAATTTCATCTAATTAGTCTAACTGAAAGATATTGTTAATAGATATAGTTTTGTATGATTATGTGTATATGCTAATGTCGTTTGTGATTAGAATGATGATAGGTTTTTTACACTTCCATTACATTGGTAACAATTATTAGTCTGGTACAATATATTACTTGATTGTCTGAATTAATAAACTAAAAAGATATATCAAGATATATTTTATTGATAAAAAGATATATAAACGAAATAGCTTGTTGCATTGATTCGATGAATGATGCATAAGATTGGAAATATGGAAATCGTTGTGTTCTATGAGATATCTTAAAGAAATCAAACCTTATGTTTGCTTTCAGCTTCAGCTGTATAGTGAAAAAGGTACCAGATTATTACATAAAAATATGGACTTTTTCATAAAGCAATACCAAGTTAATCATACGTCTCAAAATCGTTCTCATCCAAAGTCTATTCGTCATATATTCAATAAGAAGAAGATTAAATGGTGTGTAGATTATGCCAAACGAAGTTGATCAGAATATCCCCATGAATCTAAGAGTAAAACAACTGATTCTCTGAGAGTAATCTGAGAAACGTTTTTATTATTCTAATTTTATCTTAGTTCTATCTTCGACAGATTTTCGTTTTGTCAACTACAAACGCTATGATGATTAAAAATTAGAAACAACGTTTAATATAAAAATTAGCAAGTCTCACACTAAATTTTAAAGCTAATAGATCTTATTTATTAGGTAAGCTTCAAATATTTTATAAACAATGGAATGTTAAAAGTCATGGTTACACATTGAATCAATCAAATTTAGATCATTGTATTAAGTTTAGATAATAAACCGTTTACTTCTTTCCGTTTCCTGAACTAAATGTAGATAATTTTCTTTCTGTTCCATTTTTTTTGTCTTATTTGACAAAGTTGACCAAATTATTTACTAATTTCATTACTGTCCATACTGTACTAATCATAATCTTACCATAATCGACTTTTTCCTACCAACAAAAGCTTTAATTTGTTCAAGTTTGTTTGGCATAAAACATATCGATTTATTTACTGAGTAGAGGGTTCATTTTAAATTTGGGTGTTCTGAAAATTGGATCACGGCACACTTGTTAAAAATCTAAGTATTATTCTCAGTACTGTGGTTTCAGTTTAGCTGCTTATTTTCTAAAGGCTTAGTGATGTACATATATACATATACTTTCTTAGGTAAAATAAATCTTAGTTGAGATTATTATAGTTAGTCCTTTATTACATGTCAAGTACTGTTTGGTCACATACTAATCAATCTTACAAAATAAACTAATTTCTAATATATTAACATCTTTTTACAAATGAAAGTAAATGATGATAACTGTTCACATATGCAAGTGTCAGATAAATTCTAGTGTATGAGGTTGACAATTGGATTGTATGATTTGAAATGTTTTTCTTTTCAGAAGTCATATTGATTGGAAGAATTAAAAGTATTTCACTAAAATATCCAAATAAATTCCAATATTCTTAAGAGATTACATAGCAACAAATGGAATAAGTTCGTGCTAAGTGTTTTTATCCAATGTGACTATTTTTATGGATTCACTTTGAAATTTAGGAACAGAATGAGATTTAAGTACTTTCAGTTGATGAGTTTCAAATGAAATGAAATAAGATTCTTGGATTTTACTGTTAGCTGCAATTCATCTTTTTATAAAAAAATAAAATAGGTTGTTTTGTATATTTTCTTTGAGTTGATTTATTTTATGCTATACAGTCAATGACTGGATATATATTGCCTTCTATTACTGAAAAAAATTAGTTTTATCTTGGCATAATTTGTATTTCGAGAAATATGGATTAGACTAATCATACTTACTCTCTATCTAGTGAATTAACTTCCTAATTCACGTGTTCTTAAGTTAAAAAACTAGTACTGATGAATGTCCGAATTCTCTGACACAGATTGCATATATCTAAATCCATTTTGAAGTGAAAACTTTTAATAAATGATTTATTGGTTATTAGCAGAAAGATTCTGTGAGAAGTCGATATCGAGATAACTGATTAATTTATAAAATTAGTGATTTAAAATTCAAGATAGGTAGGTTATTGGGAGAGTTCATCCTCTCTTTTATTGTATTATCAAGCGAAACTATTGCTTAGTTGACTGGGAATTCTATAGAGCTTATAAGATTTTAAAGGCTTATAATCTCTTCCCTTTATTTTGAAGTTGATTGTTTTTTGACCATTCATTCATCAGCGAGATTATTAATTGTTTGTGATGTTTATTAGATCACAAATGTCTTTATAAACCGTAACACCATGTTATTTTGCCTACGTATTGACATAATACATTTTTACCAGCGGTTCTACGCGATCTAGGTGATAAATAATAATAAACAATAAATTTACATTCATAAGGTGAATGTTGTGCAAATTCTCACGTACCACGTACCACTAGATAAAAAGACAATTTTGATGCTTTAGTTTATGGGTATTTACTGCTAGATGATCTCAACCTAGGGTGAGTCATCTATATAAGTCTTTCATTTCATGATGAAAACTACTTTTTCTTATAATAGACTCATACCATACTAGAAAAATGGGGAGTACTTTTATGAACATTTCACCCGAGATTTTACTATTTCCCAAAGAGAAATACTTAAATTTTCAGTAAAATATGTGACCATTCGTAACGAGAACCAAACTGTTTATTTAGAGTATCTGACATAAGGTTTCTATTTCAATCTTTATACTTTAACTAATTTTAGTTAAGTACATGTACACACCTATTGTTAGTAACATTTACACTTGAGAAGGTATTATCACCGTTTATCTGCTATTTGTCTATTTTTTTTATATTAAACTGTTAGTATGGCTATCATGGAGGTACATTACTTTTTGTCTCTATTTATTTAGTAAATACATATTATGGACAGATATGAATATTAAATAGTAGACTTTGTCCATTTAAAGTTATTTGTAATACAGGGCATTGTTGTTTATTTTAATCCAATAACTGAATAGTGCTGATTAGGATTTTACTAAAATAGATTGTATTTTGTTAATATTTCGCACGTAAGGAATCACTTGCTGGGAAAGTTTAGTTAAAAATGTTGATGAATTCTGACATTTAAACAAAAGGTGAATATCTATTTAAATTTTAAATGATAAAATCATAATTAACAAAGAATGCGTATAGTTAAACAGTAAATTTATTTGTCAATATCTTTAGAAGGATTCTGATGTTTCATAAATTTCAACAGAATCTTACCGAATCATTTCGTCAAGCAATTTACATAGTTACTTATATTCTCTAATATTATTCAGTGAATTTATTCAATAAAAATATTATTTTTAATAGTTAAAATCATTAGTCAATAGAAGCTAGACCACCATGGAAAACCTGGGAGCACTGGACAGCCGTTTCGTCCTACTGTGTCACTCTTAAGCAGTGTGCATCCACGATCGTGAATAACCACAAAACCCCTTCTGATATCAATCAACATATGCTCACCAGTGACGGTCTCCGAGAAGTATTGTCTAGAATTCTAGTGAGAAAAAGTGACCAGTGGAACTCAACCGGGTCTGTTGTGAGATAGTAACTCAATGAAGACAATGGTGGATGTGTCACTCAATCTCGTGGATTATTTGAAGTTAGATATAAACGGTGTTGGGTGCCAATTTAGTGGTCTAGTGGTTAGGCGCTCGCGCGCAAGATTGATATGTCCTGAGTTCGAATCTCACGGGGCGGGACCGTGGATGCGCACTGCTGAGGAGTCTCAAACTAGGAAAAAACGGCCATCCGGTGTTTCTAAATTCTCTATGGTGATCTAGCCTCAATGGACTCATGATTTCAACTATTAAATTACTATAATATCTACAAAACCCCATCTAATAAAAATATTATTGATGTTAAGAAAAAATTCTGACGATTAGATTCATGATTGTTAACTGGTATTGACTAACAAATAAGCCTTATGTTATGTATCACATGAATTTCAGCGTTAAGATGGATTGTATGATTATGAGAACAAAACAAAAATTAATCAAATAAACATCTATAAATAAATCTACAGTACTCATGTAAAAAAAGATGAATAATTACAGTATGTATGGATTAAATTATCTATGAAATACACAAAACTGAAATTGGACGTAGATATATGGCTAGATTTCTTTGATAAAAGATAGATAGTTGTGATTAATTAATTTATTTTACGATATATGAATGAAATATTTAATTTATTTAAGTTATAAACCATTCATTGATTAAAGGAACACCCACCTACTTAATCACATAGGGAATAGTTTCATCCATTATAAGATATTTGTAATTATTTGGTTAAGTCGTTAGTCTTTTCATTCAAAAAAACAAAACAAACTATTTACTTAATTAAACTTATTTATTTATTTTCTATTTTTTTTAATTAAAATTTTAACTAAAGAATTAACTAAATACATTTAGTTCTTTACTTATTTACAATAATAATTAATGAGATTAAATGACCAGTACAATAAATAATGAAGAAATATAACAAGCAATGAAACATTATCACCTTTTCATCACTTTAGTTTTGAAATTAAAAAGAAAAAACAAAAAAGAGGCAAACACTGTATACACGTTCTATGTGGAAATGTTCAGTTATTGATTAAATTCATTAAATAACGTTAAATGTATATTTTGGGTCCATTTTAAGAATTGTCAAATGTAAATATGAAGGAAATATTGCCATAGAAATACTCAATATATTGTTTAGATTTTTTAATATGGTTTATTTGAAATATTTAGGAAATATTTATATATATTATAATGTGAGTAGTTGATAATAAGCGATACAAATGTCGGCGAAAATAAACACCTAGTCTTAAGAGCTCAATGGTTGAGATCATGAGTTAATTGAAGCTAGAGCACCTGGAAGCACTGAGCGGCCGTTTCATTCTATTGTGAGACACCTCAGTAGTGCGCCGGCTCAGTGGTACAATGGTTAAGTGCTCGCGCACGAGAATGATAGGTCCTGGGTTCGAGTCTCACGAGACGGGACCGTGGATGTGCACTGCTGAGGAGCCCCACAGTAGGACAAAACGGTCATTCAGTGTTTCTAGGTTTTCCATGGTGATCTAGCTTCAATTGACTCATGATCTCAACCACAGAAATTACTACAATATCCACAAAACCCTTCTGATATAATTTTGTATGATATTTTATAAAGTATGGTGTCAAATTAACAGTTAACATTAGTATTTTATATGACAGATTAAAGTGAATTTATGAATCAAATATATAATAGTAAGAAACATATGTTTATGAGTACAATTAATTTCAGGCATAAACTTATCATTTTATTATCATAAATTATGCTCTGATTAATAAACGTCTGATATGATAGTTTTATGAAATTTTTAAACTAATATCTTCATGAGGAAAGTTGATTTACTTATAGTATCTAAATTAGTTAAGAAAGAGAAATGCGATAGCGGTGCATACTACTTCCACTAACCATCAAATCTATATTAACAATATCCATTTAACACTAAAAATCATTTCCGACGATATCAAAAAAAATAATGAATAGCTGAAGTGTTTCATATGCTAATAAATTATTGTAGGCAATATCGAGGCAGTCCTCACAGAATGTACATATACCAACAAGAGACTAATCAGTTGCAGTGCTAAGTAACAATGTGAAGATACAAGTAAAACAACACTAAGTGAATCTATGAGAAAATGTTGAGAAGCGATTTTTTGAGATAATCTTGAAAATAGAGAAACAATATGAAGCACAATTTTAAGTCTCAGATTTACATACATGAGCAGGAATTCTCTTCACGTATAATCATCTTTGTTAAAAATGACATGGCATTAGCGTAGCTAAATCTGTTTGTATGTATTAATCATTTGATCCGATTTATTCCTTTTTATATTTACATATGTGTTCAACTACGAAACGAAAGGATGTCCAGAAAACTTTAGAAATTAATTTTCTAACCTCAGTGATATTTGATACATTTATCATCTCCATAAAAACCAACTTAATTAAGTATCAATTCAAGTTAAATCTTGTTAGAAATCTCTATAAAGTTATCGCACGTAAACGTCATTCCTAATTCGTGGTCCTGCCTTTTTTCACATATAAACGTCAAATTATAAGAAGATTTAAGAAGTTAATGAAATGATAACTGGTGTCCTAGTCTTGTGAAGTGAAGAAAATAACATAGTTTAGTAATTACATAGAAAATTATTCGTCAATTTAAATTGTGGTTAACAGTGGAATCTTAAAAGCTTATTTAATCCTATTTGAAAGATGTTAGCTAGATGTACCTTCATCTCATTGCCGATGTTTAACATAGTCTCAGACGCGTTATCCACTGGGTCCAAATGCTACAGTATTAACGTAAATCGCTAGTAAATTTGTGATTGGCGAAAATAGTGTTTTTATTTTTTGATTAGTTTATTTATCGTAACTATGTATAATAATCTGCATTTATAGTGACGTTCTTAATCCGTCTGTAGTACATTGGGACAGTGGCCATTTGAATTAAATTTCACTTGAATCTTCAAAGCATAAAAAATTTGAAAAATTGAAAATATTTATTTTATTAATTTTGTATCATTGAACCTCTCAGTTAACATCTACATCTGTGACTAACATGCTAAGTAGTTCATAAATATCTTTGCAATTTATTCACTGATCTATTATCTAACTTATTTTGCATTTGTTTACGCAAGCTTTTCATGTAATCTTTGAAAGATTTATGTGATTAATTTTGTCAAGGAAATATGATCTGATCTGAAACAAAAACTTTATTTAATTTTCGTGCATTACAAGATCCCCATAAAGTTATAACTAAAATCTCGAGATCTTTGAAAGGATAATTTTGTGCTCTAAAGTTTTGAGAATGATTTATCAACCAATATCTTTAAGAACTCGTATTCCCTCGAATTAACCAATGAAGCCGACTTCTAGTGATGGTCAAGTATTTATTTATTCTGTTTAACAACACAGTGATACTTTTAAATTATTTGATTTTAAACAAATGATAAGTGACACAGATGTCTGTGTCTTTCAGTAATAGTTTATCATAAATTTTTTTATAATACATGAATTTTGTTGGAACGTCTACTTATAACTGATGATATCTACAAATAACTCATTTTGTGTTTCATACTTCACCGTATCAGGTCTCCCTAAGAGTTCTTGGCGATTTTAACAAACTACTCATTTTTTCAAATTGTAACAATATGTACATATTCTTTCATTGAAGGCAGCCTAATGCATAACATTGGTTAGAAAGTATCCAGTGATCAAAATTAGAAACAAATTAATCCACAAGTCATACAGTATTCATTCGGATTATGATCACATCTCACTTTTATTTCATTTGTAATGAAAATTTTACTGTTGATAACGAATTTTTGAGCTAACAATATTTCTATATTCATAAACACATTTGACGATAAGTAAAATAACGTAAACCTATGACAATTGACATAGTATTGTATTAAGTTTTAAAACCTTTTTTAGTTAATTGTCCTGGCTAGTTCATTCCTAATGGTCACCTAAATGATTAACCTTTCTATTTGGGATTGATTTCAATTTGCAATCACTAACCTTGTCATTCGATGACATTTAGCATATCTGAAAGAAGATATATTAACGAATTTTTTTATGACGTCCTACTATGGATCAGGAAATTATTGAAAGGAGAAACAGATTTGAATGTATTTCGATTGTTGTCATCAGAACTATTTAGTTGAATAGCAAATTAATTAAAATATATTTACGGGAAATTTCACTGAATTACTATTTTATTCATTATCATTGTTTTTAGAAATTTCTTATTTCTTATCAGTTTTGTCTACCGAGCAGTGTCTAAGTGATTTTGTTTACGAAACATGACAACTATTATAGACATATAAACACATTATATATATATACCCTACGACAGATACTACACAAGCATATATATATGCGTAAACATACACGCAAACGTAGCATTAAGAATATTGAATGTCTATTTAATCCCTATTGGTTATCATTTATTTATATGACTTTTTAATATGACCAATATGAGGATATCTAAGCTAATAAACATGATAAATGTGTAGCTATCATCGAAAAAGAGTTACAATTAATTAATCTCAAATAAAATGAAACTTGGATAAGCTTCCTAAATTAACACACAGTTGTTAATAAGACATACATATAAAGTATTTTAATGCTAAATTCTTATTTGAAGCATTATATAATCCTAATAAATTATAATTATAACCGCGTATCAATTGTTAAAATATGTTACCGAAATACATTTTTGAAGTACACATATAGAAAATACATATGGAATTAAACTGTATGTAGCAATCGTTACTCGTAAACCGATTAATATCTATTTTTTAATAATGTAAGTTTACAATATTAAGTTTTTTATTGTGTGTGATTATGACATTGAATATAAATTGATTTGTGTTATATTGGTTTAGTCAATTGAAGCTAGACACTAATTTTAACATTAATACCGTTAGATGCGAGCTCACTGGTCTAGTGGTTAAGCACTCACGCGCGAGACCAATAGGTCATGGGTTCGAATCTCGTGAGGCGGGATCGTGGATGCGCACCTCTGAGGAGGCCCACAATAGGACGATACGACCGTCCAGTGCTTCCAGGTTTTCAATGGTGGTCTAACGTCAATCAGTTCATGATCTTAACTATCGAAATTTCTATAATATCCACAAAAACCCTTCTCCGATTATTTATTTGTTTGACAAATTGAAAGGAGAATATTGTTCGAATATTGTTGTCAGTTAATAAAATGAAATATTAATATCAATCAATGAATATGAAGTAATAGGTATTATGTAATACGTTAAAAGCTGTAATACAACTGAATACTGCAAATATTAGTCACTTAAGAAATTTTGTGTAACCAGAATATAGTTGATTGAATAATAAAAGTTATTCATTCCGAGTCGTAATCAATAAAATAACAAAAACTGACGACAAAGTTACTTTTTTCTAGTTTCATAAATTCTGAGAGCTCTTCTCTTACTATTTGGTTCATCAATTTTAATCTATATTGAATCTATCACTGTTTAAAATTTAAAGTAAATTTAATAGTTGAGTCAGACAGTGACTTCATCGGCTGATGTCAAATTTTGATTTGACATCTAGATTTCTTCCAACTTACTTTAACACCAGCCATTATTACGTGTCAAGGTATTCGATGTTCTACCACACCTGAAACATCTGATCGTATCAACCGATAATGACTCACTACCTCATCAGTTAGTCTGTTATCTCAAGCTACGAATTCGCGCATAAGCTCGACAGTGTTCACTTGATGGTTCTAACGTACAAATAATGCTTCGAAGTTATCTATGATCAAACCTACAGAATATATCTTTGAATGCAAGCATTTATTCAACCAAACCTCTGGTCTATAGGTTTGAATGCCGACGGTGGACTTGATAGTTTTAAACAAATTAAGCATTGCGTAAATGCGTTTATTATTAATTCTTTGTTCTATTTGATAAAATTTTACTGATATTATTAGAAAAAAGTAAATTAGACATGATATTTCTATATTTCATACACATAGTTCCCTTTATTATTTTAAAGAGAGCAAGAACAAAAATTGGTGCAGAATAATATGAATTCATTTTATTTCGTTAGGTTCTCATCAGCTGCTTACAACCTAAATTATTTAAAATTCAACATTAATACAGATATTGACATATTTATATATAAGAGTGTGATTAAGGATCAATACATGTGTATGATGATGTAGCGAATATTCAGATAGAGTTAATGAGCTCATAAAATGTTTGATTCGAATAAATAAATAAAGTTTGAGAGGGAAAGTTCCAGAACATTGAAATAGTGATTAGAACTCATGAAAATTGATTAATGGTAATAAAGAAAATATGAATTGAAATCAATCAGTTATGTATGATGTAATTTATATTTCAGAAAGAGTTGCAATAATGACGTAATAAATAAATAAATAAATAGGAGCAAATTAATAGAAAGAGTGCGGGTTATTGTTACCAGGGTAAAGAAAGATTTATTACTGTCTCTTTTTGTATACATAGATCTGGTTTTAAACGTTTGATTGCTAACGCTTCAGCGAATTTCAAAAGGTTCGAGTTTGATTGTTTGTTAATCACCTTGAAGGACTTCAGTATATCAGCTTTATGTCCTGTATCAAGGAGATGTCTGGCGATAGCACTGTTGAATTCGTTCAATCCATTTACATGTACCTGCCAAAGCAGTTACATTGGTAGAACAGAAAGGAGAGCCTACGTCCGATTCAAAGAACATATTCCGAAAAGTTTAAGGTTAAATGGATTGAACGCATTCAACAGTGCTATCGCCAGACATCTCCTTGATACAGGACATAAAGCTGATATACTGAAGTCCTTCAAGGTGATTAACAAACAATCAAACTCGAACCTTTTGAAATTCGCTGAAGCGTTAGCAATCAAACGTTTAAAACCAGATCTATGTATACAAAAAGAGACAGTAATAAATCTTTCTTTACCCTGGTAACAATAACCTGCACTCTTTCTATTAATTTGCTCCTATTTATTTATTTATTACGTCATTATTGCAACTCTTTCTGAAATATAAATTACATCATACATAACTGATTGATTTCAATTCATATTTTCTTTATTACCATTAATCAATTTTCATGAGTTCTAATCACTATTTCAATGTTCTGGAACTTTCCCTCTCAAACTTTATTTATTTATTCGAATCAAACATTTTATGAGCTCATTAACTCTATCTGAATATTCGCTACATCATCATACACATGTATTGATCCTTAATCACACTCTTATATATAAATATGTCAATATCTGTATTAATGTTGAATTTTAAATAATTTAGGTTGTAAGCAGCTGATGAGAACCTAACGAAATAAAATGAATTCATATTATTCTGCACCAATTTTTGTTCTTGCTCTCTTTAAAATATTTCTATATATCAAACTATTTTTGTCAGCCATTCTCACGCTCAGTAATTATTAACCTGTATTGACTAAACAATTGATAGTAATGTTAAGCACTAGTGCTCAAATTAGTAAATGTACCGTAAATTAAGCAGTCGTAGAACAGTAGAAATAATGAATGTATGATTTCTAAATAAATTCGACTGATGTGACTCAAGAAAGAACAAAGTGAATGAATAGAAATAATACATTGAAAGCTTTGAAAGGGTGTTGGGAAATACATACGCTTCATTGTGATTAGTTTTGTGCATTATATTTTTTATTAGAAATCATAATATAAAACAACGGTACTTTAATTTTAATTTAAACTCTGAAGTGAATCCATTTATTATGTGTATTTAGTCAAAAAGTATTGATTACGCGTTACCTTACGTCATAAATGTTTTTTAGGTCATGGGGTAACTAAGAATAATTATCCATTATTGCAAGATTATTGTTATATAAAACAACGTATGACTTTCTTTGTAGCTGTGATATATTTATTTTAAAGTCAGATTTACTTCATAAATGACTGATATTATAAGCATATATCATGTACTGTATTTTACAAATAAATATCAGATGACTTTGTGTCAACCAATGCTATATGGTTCTGTTTTTGAAAGCGACCATATTCTGTTAATAAAGTCAAAACTTGGCAACAAGCCTAAGTAATTTGGCTTCGAATTGTAATTGATTCGGTATTAACTAAGCGAAGGTAATCAGAAAAAACCATCGAATATAAGGGTTTGTTTAACGACAAACATCAGCTATTACGAAGTCACTAATTTTTCTCATGTAATTACAACACATTAAACTCACCATTAATGTTAGATAATTTAAAATTATATTAGACGAGCTATGACTGATTTCTTCTAGAGCTAATTATCTAGTCGTGGCTAGTATCATATTGTCTAACAACTTTTCACTACTGACAGAATTCTAATTAATAATAAATTTTAATTAGATCAACGCCTAAACACTAGAGATTAATGAAATGATAATTTTTTTTAATTTAAATAGTTGAGATCATGAGTCAATCGAAGCTAGACTATCATGGTTTTTCATTTCAACTATTGAAATTACTACAATCACCAAAAACCCATTCTGATACTAAAAAAGTTCTCTAAATCCATTTATTTTTCATTTTAAAGGTTTCAGATCCTACTTATTTGTTTACATAAAATTACTTTTGTTTGTGATGGAATTTTGTTCTCTGAGATGGATGTTTTGGTCGTGGAGCTTTGATCGTCCTTCTGAACGATATCATCAACACAAACTTCATATAGAAGTGAAGCGTTCGAATTACTCTTTATGTGATTCACAGTTTATCTTGTACACCTCGATGCTGACTGGTTCTTGTTGACCTTAAACCTGTCATTGTTCAGAAGAATGATGAAAGCTCCACGACTAAACCATCCGTCTCAGAGAACAAAACTCTCGCAAAATCATCCACCTGAGCTAGAAATCTCTACTTTTGTTTGTTTACTGAACGAAAATTAGAACTGTTTTACAGTACATTATATATTACTTGAATAATTTCTATCTCTGACAGTTTAACGAGATTAGATATTTTAGTCAAAAGAAATAAACTTATGCCATTTACCATTAGATAAAATTATTATAAATTAGAAATACTGAAGCCTTGACCAGATCATCACTTTTTCTTCCATTTAATGTCCTATCTTAATTATGTAATTATGATACTTTGATGACTAATCCATACACTGACATATTCTGTATATAACATACATTTACAAATGTCATATAATTAAGTAACCATTCATACAATAAAAACAACAAACTTACTTTTTCGTTTTATTATTGACCTAAATGAAAAACAAAATACAAATATACATGTAGACCTTGACATAAAATAATGAAACTCTATAAAATATAGATAATATTCAATACTATGAAAGTAGACTGAACTTACATTATAGAAAAGAAATCAGTAATCAACATAAGTAAATAAGTTGTCCGAAAAATGGACATTCTATTATTGTTTAATGGAATCGAATCATTTTAGACTACTTATGTGCTAAAAAACTACAGTTATAACAGCTGACTTATTTATGTCAGTTACATTTAAAATTTTGTTTTTTTTCTCCTTTTCATCCTGGTTGTTTATTTCTGTTGTTTCTAGTAAATCTTTTGTTTTATATTTCATTAGTCTTTTTGAAACGTATGTAATAAAATTGAAAAGCAGGATAGGTATTAAGTAGTTTGTATAATTGTTGAACTACCTTAATTAAGAAATAGTTAAATCTCTGCTTCTAATGATAAATGATTATAATCAGTATTACCATTTTGAAGGCAGAAGACAAAAAATGTAGTGCAGGTATTTGTTGCATTGAGCTGTCTTTCGATATCCGATACTGATATACATATTTTCTATGTTCGAGCCTAAC